GTTATCGTTTATGCTTATTGGTCTGTATCGGAACATGACACCCCGAGTTTTGATTATATAATGAAAATACATTTCATTTATGTTGTTTTATCATGTTTTGTTTTTGGGAACAAATTCCGCAACTCTTTCAAATCAAAAGGATTTACTCTGAAATTATTTTAAAAACATAAATGAAAATCGGTCTTTTCTGGCCGAGATTTTGGGGATGTCACAAAATATAAAACAGAAAATGGGGCATTATAACTCTCCCCTGCTTGAATCAGACTTCAACCTCAAGACGCATTATAACTCAAAAATAACAACCCTTAACATTATAAACCAACACTAACTGTGTGATGACTCTTCATCGACAATAGCATATGCAAGAGGTAATATATTATTTTTAGCATCTTTTGTGACATCAACAAGTAATTTCCCCTTATATGTACCCTTCAAATGACAACCATCAACAGAAATAAAAGGTTGGCATAGACGAAATGCATCAATAGCAGGTCCAAAAGCCCATAAAACATACTTGAATGTTGCAACATTTGAGGAGTCATTTAGCTTATGAAACCACTTCACAATTGTATCTGGATTTGAAGCTTGCAAAGCTGTAATGTACTTAGGTAACTCATCAAAATTACTCTCTCCCATGTTCCATAAATAGTCTCTATGGCTTTTTTCCTTCCATGCCATGCCTTCCAGTAAGAAACATCAACATTCAGAAGGTTTTTAATATCTTGTTGTATATGTTTCACTGGATAAGCAACATCTTTTTCAATTGAATGGAGGATATATGAGGAAATAGTTTAAGAGTTTAAGTTTATATTATTATTTCCAGTACATGATTGGCGAAATGAAGAAGATAAGAATTCTATATGTTGAAATTGATGAAAAAAACTAATGATAAAAAGAGAAATTTATCATACAACAAATGAAATGACTATACAATTCAATCATTTGCTTTCTTTGAGTTTTCATGAACCGTGAAAATGACTTTTAACAGGCTTTTGCTGATATGCTATCATGAATAGATATTTCGGAGTTTTCAAAAAATAACAAAAATATAGTATAACAAAAATATTTATATATTTATTAATTAAAAAAAAATCGATTAAATAAATGTAGTATATTAAATATTGAAATTTATTCATAGGCTATAAGTTATTCAAAATATTAATTAGAATTTAGTTATATATTTTTAATAATAGGAGTAAAAGCTAAATTTTTTATTAATAAAAGCTAACAAAAAGTAATGATACAAGTTAAAGGACTAAAATGTAACATTCAAATGTTTGTTGAATTTTAAAATAAGAAGAAAAATTGCAAAAATGATCCCTGTGGTTTGCCGATTTCTTTGAGTAAGGTATAAAAAAAAGTTTATTAGCAAAAAATATCTTTATTTTATAGTTTAGATGTGGTTTTGGTCCCTATTTCTTTCACTTTAATATTAGGTTGTTAACTTTTTTAAAATGACAATTTTATTCTCAAGGACCATTTTTGTAGTTATCTATTTTCACCAAATTACAAGGACGATTTCTGCATTTCTTCTTTTTAAATTTATTGAATTATTATATATTAATTCTTCTTTCTTTTTAATTTTATTGAATTATTATACATTTTTTTTATTGGATTAATTTTTTATCGTATTATAGTTAATTCTATTTTTAATATATAATATTTATATATTAATAAATATTATATTATTATATTATTAACTTATTTTAACTATTTTTTTAAAAAAATTATTGGATTATTTTTTTTTTTAAAAAAGTTATTGGATTTTTTTATTGGATTATTGCATTTAATTTATTATATTTTATATATGATAAAAAAATATTTTAGTGGATCATTAATTTTATTTTAATGTATATTATTAATTCTTTTTAATTTATTGGTTCTACCACAAAGTCTTCGGAATACGCAAAAGCACCGAATCTCATTGTCGAAAATCGTCTGGACCACCGCTAATCACCTTCATCAGAGGTCCGACGGAAACACTACCAACCTGTTTCATCCAACGTCGATATCTAGTAGCTACCTACGACAACATCTTCACTATCCATCAGAATCCTTTACATTTGCCACTAAGTCGATCGTTTTCTACTAAAACCATTACTATTTGAACCACCAAGAAGTCCAGCCCAAACACCCCTATGAGTTCCTCCATTTGTTGCATTTTACCAGCTTACGCCACAAAATCATACTACCTGGTCAGTTCCACTATTCGTTGCCTTCCACAAACCCATGCACAACCTTATAACATCAAAGCTTCAAGCCTGCACTACCTAAAAAGATTTAGCGGTGGATTTGGTGGTTTGAAAAACCCAATATCTAACATTGTTCCCATTGACGATAGCGTAGGTAGTCAATTAGTGTAGTTTTGGTTGAGAATGATAGATTGTAGGCAACAATCAACGATTTCTGACAAGATGATGTGGCGGCGCAAGGTAGTAGAAAGCAACGAATTGAGGAACTGACCAGGGGTGTTTGGATCGGACCTCCTTAACACAGTATTGATTGTAACAGAAAAACGACCGACTTAGTGGCAACCAATAACGTGTTAAGTTGGACGTTTTCTGTTACAACTATTACCGTGTTAACCACCAGGAGGTCTGATCCAAACACCCGTGGTCAGCAGGGCCGGTCCAAATGTATTGTGGGCCCAGGGCAAAAAGAAAAAATAGGCCCCTAGAATAATAAATAAAGTTTAATTTAATTCAAAAATAAACATGTCATTACAAAGTCCACAAAAAATCACTATTAATATTAGAAACATAAGTATAACCACAACATTAGCTAAAAGAGAAATTACTATCATTTTAATTCAAATTAGTTTTTCTGCATTCAAACTAGTATCATTTTAATTCAAATTAAACGAACTCGATGGTTTAAAAAAAATTATGTATAAATCCTTTATAAGTTTAATTGAAGGCATCAGAAAATTTTCGTTTCTTCCTTTTTTTTTGGCTTCTAGATAATTGTTTTTTGGAAAACATTGTAGTTTGTCAATCGCTAAACATTATCTACTTATGGGAAAATATTACATCTGATTTTTGATATATGATTTCTATCTTAAAGTTGTAGAAGCCTAATATCATATTTAATTTAAATCAAGGTGCAACTACAAAATAAAATCAAATAGAAACAATCAAACATTTGAATTTAAAACTAGATTTAAAGTTTTGAATTATGAACCATATATCAATAAATATATTACCTTCTTAAGCAAAAGAAATCTAAAAAGTAGGTAGAAGATACAAAGTTAAGTCTCAAAAAATCTCAGAAAAAAAAAAAACTATATGGTTTCAACATTTGATTAGATACAAGGACCAGGAATCAGCAATGTGAATACAAAATAAAATCAGAAACAACACTAAAACATCAGAAAAATTAGTATTGGATTTATAATTTTGAGTCCGGAGTTAGATATCTACAAAGAAATTATCTTGTGAAGTAAAAAATATGAAAAGTAGGTAGAATCTATAAAGAATTGACAGTCCAGTCTCCAACAATTTAGCAATCTGGGATACAGATACACAAACAAAATAAAAAATAAATAAATAAATAAATAAAAACTATAAGGAGCATGAATAAGAAATCAAATCAGAATGAGAAACAAAATATTTAGAGGAAAAAACAAACAAAAAAAATTTATAACTAACCTTATGGTTTTTATCTCATTCGTTGGGTGCTTTGCAATTTTGCATTCAATCGACATAATTGATTATAATGTGAAGGCTGGTAAGAGACTACGAGAAGGAAAGAAGTCACACGACATAACTGATTATGAATCATTGTCCTGATGTTGATTCACGAGGCAACAATTTGGATTCACGAGGTGTCAATTAGATTAATTGGTTCCCGCTTGATGAGGATTCCTATAAGACGCCCTAAACGGTAGTGTTTGCTTAACGTTACTTCGAAAAGCGTTCCAGAGTCTAGACTAAAAGAGGTTATTTCATTGGGCTAAAGTTTGGTTACTTTTGTAATTGGGCCCTTAGAAGACATATACACAAACATTATTTTTTATATGTGTGTGTATATATATATATATATATATATATATATATATATATATATATATATATATATATATATATATATATATATATATTATATTTGAGAAATTTTGGGCCCCTTAAAGTCGTGGGCCCTGGGCGGTCACCCAGGTTGCCCACCGTTACGACCGGCCCTGGTGGTCAGTTTCTCAATTCGTTGCTTTCTACCACCTTGCGCTGCCACATCATCTTGTTGGAAATCGTCCATCGTTGCCTATAATCCGTTATTCTCAACCAAAACTACAACAATTAACTACCCACACTGTCATCAATGACGACAATGTTAGATATAGGGTTTTCAAACCACCAGATCCACCGCTAGATCTTTTCAAGTAGTGCAGGCTTGAAGCTTCGATGTTATAAGATTGTGCATAGGTTGTGGAAGGAAATGAATGGAGGAACTGACTAGGTAGTTGTGGCGTAAGCTGGTAAAAGGCAACAAATGGAGGAACTAATAGAAGTGTTTGGGTTGGACTTCTTGGTGGTTCAAATAGTAATGGTTCTAGTGGAAAACGACCGACTTTGTGGCAAATATAAAGGATTCTAACGGATTGTGAAGAGGTTTTCGCAGGTGTCTACTGGATAGCGACGTTGGGTGAAACAAGTTGGTATTGTTTCTGTCGGACCTCCGATGAAGGTGATTAGCGGTGGTCCTGACGATTTTCGACAATGGGATGCAGTGCTTTTGCCTATTCCGAAGACTTCGCGGTAGAACCAATAGATTAAAAAGAATTAATATTATACCTTTAAAAAAATTAATGATCCACTAAAATATTATTTATTATATATAGCATATAATAAATTAAATGTAATAATCCAAAAAAAAAAAATCTAATAATTTTTTTTTAAAAATCCGATAATTTTTTTTAAAAAAATAGTTAAAATAAATTGTGTCATTTCTTCTATGTCTTTATTTTCTTATTCTCCCATTCATCTTCAACGGATTCATCATCATCAATGTCATTAACGGATCGGGTCAACTTTAGGACACGAGTCCTAACCCGCCATCTCAATAACCACCAAAACCCCACCACCGAACTCCTACAAACTGCCGTATGTGTCTGCTACTCTCCACCGGAACTGTCTGAACCGCCGTTTAGTTTCGATACCAAGTCCCTCCGTAAACTCCTACATGGCCAGAACATTGCTGAAATCGACAATGTGTTCAATCCGATGATGCGGAGCAACCTGTTTTGCCCAAGAGAAAGAGGAGGCAAAGTGTTTATTTCGCCGGATTTTAATCAGTCGATGGAGCAGCAGAGAGAGATGACGATGAGGAGACTTGATTACTTGGATTCATCATCATCAATTATGTTCCTGTTGTGTGTTTTCAGCATGCTACACACACAGTAGCCTTCTCACAGCTTGAAATTAATGGTGTGAATCATGGAGTGCATGCTTTTATAGCTCAAATCAGGGACTCGGATGGAAATATATGTCCAAATGTTCGTATTGCAGATTGTGGCCATAAAATTGGTTTGAATGGTGTTGACAGCGGTCGAATCTGGTTCGACAATCTACGCATACCAAGAGAAAACTTGTTGAATTCGGTTGCTGACGTGTCACCTGATGGGCAATATTTAAGTGCAATAAAAGATCCAGATCAGCGATTTGGAGCCTTTATGGCCCCATTAACAACTAGCCGGATACCTATTGCCGTTGTTGCAATGAACGCCACAAAGGTGCTACAAACTACACACTACCAAACCTAGACTTTAAGTTCACACTTCACATATTCTAGAAGAGGGTAATTCGTAATCAACGTAACACCACAACACACTTTTTTGCGTGAAAACTGAAGCGTTGCCGTTCACAAAGAAAATCGTGGCAGTGCAATTAATGGGAACACCCTTGCGGCTGAACCTAATTATTCAACATTGGGAGAGCCAATTGTGGGATCTACATTGCCTGGCAGGCACTAATATATTTGGGCCCATTAAAAAAACCTTATGTCTAGTGGCTGTTTCGGGCCTTTCCCTAATACAATACCAATTCAATTTTCATCTCCAGCAGCCCATATTGGTGACTTCTGGTAGTAAATCAAACACTAGTGGATCAAAAGTCAAAACCCAGGAAACGCAAGAGAATTAAAACTAATACTCGTTCATCACCGCATCTTACTCACCTTATTCCATTACCTAATTTACCTATTCCTTTTCCTAATAGACAACCAAACCGTCAAATTGATCTTAAATCGGAGACAGGAAGTAGTCTACCATCTAACTCATGCGAATTTCAACAAACTATGGCAATTGGAACACAGTAATGTTTCCATTTTGACGATGATAATGGAATCATGGCACAAATTCTTGGTGAGTCGGGTGGATAAACTTGTGATCAATGAATTGCTTATCCTTAAATACAAGAGGCTTGGGGGTGGATGTCAAAACTCAATGGGTGCGTAGATTGAAACTTACTCACAAAATAAACTTCATGGGACTACAGGAAACACAAATGATGGACCACTCTAGCATTAACATTGATGGATGCTGGGATTCAACTAATCACGACTCAGAAGGAGTTGACTCAAATGGTAGATTGGGAGGACTCATATCAATCTGGGACACACATTGCTTTCAAAAGGTGGAGGTCATTAAATCTCGATTCTTTCTAATTGTCATTGGTGATTGGGTTGGGGTCACATGAAACACAATCTTCGCTAACGTTTATGCTCCACAATCACCAACGGAGAAAAAAAACTGTTTGGAAAGAATTAATTAGAATCAAATTATCCAAACTTGGCAATTGGATAATATTTGGCGATTTTAACGTTGTAAGAAGAAAAGAAGAAAGATTCAATTCACAGTTCTACCCTTCTAGTGCATCCGCTTTTAATCGTTTCATTCACAAGGCTGACCTACAAGAGTTTAATATGTGTGCGGAGAAATACACATATATGTCATGTGTAGATGCTAAATTAAGTAAATTAGACAGGTTTCTAGTTTGCTCTAATTTTGTGTCTGCATTTCGTGATATAACTGTGATGGCTCATCCTCGTGAACTCTCTGACCATAGTCCTATCACGCTCAAACAATTGTCGTCTGATTTTGGCCCAACTCCATTCAAATTCTTCAACTCTTGGTTACTAACTGAAGGGATTGACCAAACGGTTATCAATGCTTGGGGAAACTTCATGGGATATGGCATATCAGATAAATACCTTGCAGCTAAACTACAACACGTGAAGGAAGCAATAAAGAAATGGAGGAAATTGAACCATCAAAAAGAGACGGATGAGTTACTAAACTTAAAGAACAATGTTGCCACATTAGAGAAAGTTGCAGAACAACGTACACTATCTGACAACGAACTAATGAATAGAAGTCATGTGATTCAGAGGATTCTAGAACTTGAACAAATGAAGGCATTAGATTTGAAACAAAAAGCCAGAATCAAATGGAATACAGACGGAGATGACAACACTAAGTTTTTTCATGGGTATATCAGTAGTAGAAATAGGAGGAATAGAATAATAGGCCTGTCAATCAATGGAAGGTGGACGTCAGACGTCAATGAAATAAAAAATGAAGCATATAAATTCTTCCAAGGCAAGTTCAAAGAAGAATGGCCGATACGTCCAAAATTAATCAGTCCTCACTTCAAATCGATCTCCATGATGGATGCCATGAGACTTGAATCACCAATCTCACCAGAAGAAGTTAAAAATGCAGTTTGGGCAAGTGGCAGTGACAAGGCTCCGGGACCAGATGGATTCACATTCATGTTCATACAAAATACTGGGATATAATCTGTGACGATATAATAAGATTTGTTCGACATTTTGAGGATCACGACACCTTATCTCAGGGATGTAACTCCTCATTCATCACGTTAGCATCAAAAATCAAGGATCCAATTACCCTTTCTGACTATCGTCCAATTAGTCTTATTGGATGTTTATACAAAATCATCACCAAGATCTTAGCCACGAGATTAAAGAACATTATTGGTGGGGTCATTGGAGAGGTTCAATCAGCTTATGTGGAAGGACGAAGCATTCTTGATGGACCATTAATTGTCAACGAGATCTGCTCTTGGGCAAATCGTACGAAAAGAAGAATATTACTTTTCAAAGTTGACTTCAATAAAGCATTTGACTCATTAAACTGGGGATTTCTAGATTCGGTGCTTATTCAAATGGGATTTAGGAATAAATGGAGATCATGGATCAGTGGGTGCTTATCATCATCCCGAGCTTCAGTGATTGTCAATGGTTCACCCACCAAAGAATTTGACATAAGCAAACGGGTACGACATGGTGAACCTCTTTCTCCATTCGTCTTTATCATCGCAATGGAAGGTCTAAATGTAGCTCTTAAAGCGACGATTGAAAAAGGAATTTTCAAAGGAATTAAAATCCCTGAAAATGGACCATTGATCTCTCATTTGTTCTACGCCGATGATGCGTTGTTCATCAGTGAGTGGTCCCGATCCAATCTTAAAAACCTGGCTCGTATCCTGCGATGTTTTCACGCATCTTCAGGGATCAAAGTGAATTTCTTCAAATCCAAAGTCTTTGGTATTGGGGCTTCGAATGTTGAAACTTCAAATTGGGCCAACATCCTTCGATGCGAAGCTGGCTCCCTAGCGTTCACTTACCTCGGAGTCCCAGTTGGGGCTAATATGAACTTGGTAAAAAATTGGAAACCAATTATCGATAAGTTTCATTTTAAGCTCTCGTCATGGAAATCAAAAACTTTGTTATTTGGGGGCAGATTAACACTAATAAAATCTGTCCTGGGCAATCTTCCAACATACTATCTTTCGATATTCAAAGCCCCAATGACAGTGATTGATGCACTCAAAAAAATCTGTCGGAAATTCCTTTGGGGAGGAACAGAAAGGAAAAATAAGATTCACTGGGTATCATGGGAAAAAGTAACGACACCTAAGGAATATGGTGGATTAGGTGTAGGATCAATACATGCACTTAACGTTGGACTCATCGTCAAATGGTGGTGGCGTTAGAAAAATGTACCAACATCTCTTTGGAGTCAAGTCATAACAGGTATTCACTGTCTTTCTAATAAACCATGTGATGATCTCTCAAAGAAAACTATTACTAGGGTGTGGAAAAATATTGCAGGGACCATGAAAGATATTCAGAGAGTTGGAATTAATTTCAACGACATTTTTAGATAGGAGATCAAATCAGGCGAAAATACCATGTTTTGGCAGGACACTTGGATGAATAACGAGAAACTAAAAACGAAATATCCTTCACTTTATGATTTAGAATTACGTAAATCATGCTCTGTTTCCTCTCGTATTGTAAATACTGGTAACTTTTGGGAATGGAAATCTTGTCCATTAGTGGCAGGATTATCCACAGAATTAGACAGGTTAAAACAGGAGATTGCTTCGCGCCAACTACAACCTGGTCATGATAAATGGACATGCTTGTTAACGCCCGAAGGAAGTTTCACAGTGGAAGCAATCAGAAGGAGACTAGACAAAGTTACACAACACTCTTCCAATCTTCCATTGATCAGTTGGTGCAAGGTTATCCTAATAAAGGTGCTTTGCTTTGTCTGGAGGGTTGTACAAGGATGCATTTCATCTGCTACAGCATTACAATCTCGTGGCATGGATATCGACTTGACATTATGTGGAACTTGTATTGGTGAAAATGAGTGTGCTGATCATATTCTGATGAGATGCTCATACGCAAAACTTATAATGAACAAGATTTTTGAATGGTGTGGATTAAACAAAGAAGAATTCAATAATGTTGGTGAACTACTTCATTTTGCAGCCTCATGGGGTCGATGCCCTAAAAAACGCATTAAACCGCTTTCTATTTGCAACAGTCTGCTATGTAATCTTTGGAGGATCAGAAATGACAGACTATTTCGAGGAGCATCTACTACAATTTGTAGAGGCATTGAAAACATCAAATCGTTGACATATTTGTGGCTCAAATGCAGGAGCAATGGTCGAGTCAGTAATTGGATAGAGTATAATTCCTCCCCCCTTTCCCTCATGTAATAAACTAAAAACTATGTTGTTCCTCTTTACCCTTGCCTAGTCACTTGCTAAGCATTGAGTTTTTTAATATATTTTGCCGTTTCTAAAAAAAACCAAACCTAGACTTAACTTCAGACTTCACATATTCTAAAAGACGGTAATTCGTAATCAACATAACACCACAACACATTGTTTTGTCTCGCACCATACTCTCCCTCAATTCCTTTCAGTAAATAATTTCTCTTTCCCCCCTTACTTTTTATTTGTTTTTTTAAATAGAAATAAAAATAATATTAACTCGGTAAATAAAAGTAAATGAAAAAATAATTTAATAAAAAAGCAAAATCAAAACATTGCATGAATTTGAAATATCAGATTTGAAAAATCACATAATTATGGAATTAAAAAATTACATTAATATGAAAAATTGTCATCCAAAGTCATATGTCCATTTCTTTTTCAACATGTAATTGATTTCTCTAAATATAATTCACAAAATCAACGGTAAGCTTGTGATGCATATCTCCGTCATGAATGTCTATTTTGTTTTCCATGTACCGTGGGGAACCAACTTCTAAATTATAATGGTTCTTGCACGGGTAAAATGTTGTTTTCGTCCTATTAACATATTGCATATTTTTGAATCCCTGGCAACCCTTTAAACCCTCCTTTTTTTTTTTTTTTTTTTTTTTTTTTTTTTTTTTTAGTGATTTCAATCAATACATGATAGCAATTAGTTATCTTT